GCTTGTACTGTGGTTGCCAAAAAGTCAGGATTACAGGCTAAAAGGGGTTAACTAAGATTCATAACAATTAGCCTGGTAAACATGTATCATTGGCTCAACAAAAAATGCCTATATCACTTCCAAGACTGAATAAAATTACATTTCGCTTTGCAAACAGACAGGGCAAGTTCTAGACATCAAATGCAATGCACGGAATAACACAAAACCTCACACACACATGGCACATAACTCACTCAGGATCGGACTCATCAAGACACTCTAGTCAAAGCAGTTAAGCAAAGTTAAGATCATACAAATTAAGGCACTTATACAAGAGTCAAAGACCGAGCCTAAGCGTCACAACCAAAGCACTCACTATTCTCAAGGCATAATAGAGTCAAGAGATATTGCCTGCCATTCAAATCATAGCTCGAGGTTCCTACTCCTAACAAAAATAAAAACTAACTACATCCGGTTCAATCAAAACACTTGGAAAAGAACCGCGACATAAAGAAAAACCAAGGGGGAATTAATACACTACCTAACAAAAGAAAATCTTTTTGTCTTTTTCTTTCGACTTTAATCCTCAAGAAACCCTTCGAATGATATCCATCATCCGAAAAAATCCAAAATTTTAAAATTTTTTATAGTTTTTTTTAATCTCTAACTACTACAACTAACAAAAGAAAAAATAACACTATTATACATACAACAAACAAATATCCCCCACCCCACACTTTAAATGGTGGCATGTCCCCATGACACACAGAGAAAAATTCAAAGGTGAAGAGAAAATCCCTTGAAAAAGTTAGTCCATGTAGGAGACGGTGTCGAGGTCTAGATGATAAGGCCCGCCAAGTGCACGCAGCCATGCCATGATTTTCTTCTCGGATTTGGCATTCTTTGTAGCAAGGGCATCCACTGGAGCTCCCAAATTGGTGATAGAAGTACGCATCCCCGCCGTCTCTTGCTCTAAAGAGCTCATTCTCGTATCCCATCCGCCGACTAAAGGTTCCCCAACACCCTGTTCATGCGGTGGAGAAGCAGGGACATCCTCACCATGCACCTCATTGCCCTCATCGGGCGCATCAGGTTCCTCACTATCAGCCTCAGCAGTCCCAGCATGTTCTTTCCTAATTACAACTTTATCGGCTCGAAACTTCTGTTTGCGCTTGACTTTCCCATTCTTGGCCCTGTTTTCCGGCACACGGGACTCATGGCATAACCGAGTGACTAATGAGGGGAAGAAGAACCATACCTCTGAACAGGACAACACATGGTCATCTCATCTTGAATGACCTGAGCCACATAAACATCATGGCCATTGATAAAGCACTAAACCAAAGCAGCCCGGGGACCGTTCACCTCAGTGGTCTTGCCTGAAGGCAGCATATGGTTATCAACAATGTGTAGCCAACACTTCCCCTCAAAGGTAAGCGAAGCTGAGTGAAATTTGTGCCCCTCCTTCAGCCACACTACCTCCTTGTCGGGTACACAAATGGTTTCAAAGAATATGCACCACATGTTTGGTTTTCTATTGTACGTGTAATAGTAGTCACCTGTATCAGGGTCTTCCACGTACTCCGGCAAAAGATACACCCTTCGGATGGCCTCCTTGGAGAAGTCCACTCTCTTCTTTCGGACTGTACAGACATAGTCCTTATGTTCAGGGCAGTTCGCATAGAACTCCCTAACAACCATCAAATTTGCTTCATCGGGTTTTTCGAAAAACACCACCATTCTTCGCCTGATCAACTCCGTATATACTCTGGGACAGTGATTTTGGAGAGACCAATATCGATTCCTCTCTCCTGTATAGTCTTTTTGCTTGCTTTGCTATTAAAACATTGTTGGGCTTCCCATGAGACAAACTTCTTCTGGTCATAAGGACGATCGGATGAGCTCGCAACCGGGACGTGCTCGCTAGACCACTTGTGAAAGCACTTGCAGTTTTTCTCTTATTTGAGGGTGCTATAGTACTTGTGAAAAAAACCGCCAACTATCAGCTAATGATTCACTTGGCGAACCAAGAGAGGCTACTCAGACTTCACCCTCACACTTGGTCGCAAAATTACACCCTCAATCTCATTGTAGCATTTACACGATCACTTAGCATGCACAACAGGTCCTAACCTCCCACAAAGCAATTTTAGCCCTAATTAGACTAAGGATACACCAATGTCTCTCATAGAAACTATATGGTCGGTCTCCATGGTGAAAATCAACCTCCACCCACACGAGAAAGAGAACAAATAGAAAGAAACAACAACAAATTGCTACAAACAAGCAAAATAAAACAAAATAAAAAAACAATAAAAGAGAGAAAAGCATCTCACTTACCTGAGATGTCCTAGAGGAAGAGAGCTCGTGAGGATAGGTGAAGGGAGAAGAATTAATGGTGTTGTTTTTACAGAGAGGAGATGAGAGAAGGTTGGGGGGGGGGGTGAGTTAGGGTTCAATTAGTGTAGGGGAAGGAAAGAAGGTAAAATTTAGAACTGGGGGTTTTGAAGGGGGGTCCAAAATTAAAAGGAAAAAAACACTTACCTGTGCGCGGTCGGGTTACCCCGTGCGCGGCCGTGCATGTTTGGTAGCAACTGGTGAATTTGCGCTGTCACCCCTTCAGGTGCGTGGTCACGCATGTTTCACATCGCCTGACGTTGCCTTGTGCACGACCATATGCGCGAGGTGACCCACCATGCGCACGGATACATTCAAAAGAGGCCTTTTAGACACCTTAGTTCCTACCTTCCGTGACATGTACCTTCCTGCACCTACCACAACATAATATACACTAATTACGGGCATCCTCAACTGATTTTGACGCTCAAGGATTGCTGAGCAAATCCTCCAACAAGATACAGTTTTAGCCTGTGCCCATTCACTTTGAAACTCTCCGTTCGGTCATGCTTATGGATCTTAATTTCCCCCATATTGTGATACATGTTTCACAACATATGGTCCCATCCATCTAGATTTAAATTTTTCGGGGAACAACTCGAGTATACTATTGTACAGTAAGACTCTGTCCCTTTCATGAAACACCTTTGTCTTAATCAGGCGATCATGCCATCTTTTAGTCTTTTCCTTGAAAATCCGCGCATTTTCATATGCGTCCAGTCTAAACTCCTCCAGTGCATTCATTTGAGCCAACTTGTGTTCACCTGCAAGACTAAGATCAAGATTAAGCATCTTAATTGCCCAGTAAGCATTATGTTCTATCTCAACATGTAGGTGACAAGGCTTCCATACACTAATTTGAAAGGCAAAGTACCTATGGTTGTTTTGAACGCAATTATGTACGCCCATAGAGCTTCCTCCAACTTTACAGACCAATCCTTACGAGAAGTACTAACCGTCTTTTCAAGAATTAGTTTAAATTCACGGTTAGCCACTTAAACTTGCCCACTAGTTTGGGCATGGTACGCAGTTCCTGTTTTGTGTGTGACCCCATACTTGGACAGCAGTGCAACAAACTGCTTGCTCACAAAGTGTGACCCATCGTCACTGATAATCACTCGAGGCATCCCAAAGCGAGTAAAGATGTTTTTTCGTAAGAACTCACACACTACACGAGCATCATTGGTCCTAGTAGGGATTGCTTCGACCCACTTAGAGATGTAGTCAATGGCTACTAGGACGTACTCATAAGAATGTGACGCTGGGAACGGACCCATGAAGTCGATGCCCTTAACGTCAAAAATTTCACTTACCAGAATGGAGTTGAGGGGCGTTTCATCCCTCTTACTAATATTACCTGCCCTTTGACACTTGTTACATGCAGCTACATATACTCGCACGTCTTTGTACAAAGTAGGCCAAAAGAAACTGGCTTCCATGACCTTTGCTGCAGTATGATTTCCACCATAGTGTCCTCCAGCTGCTCCATAATGGCAGGGAGACAGAATGCTTGCCATCTCTCCATCTGGCACACATCTTCGAATCACACCATCTGCACACAACTTAAACAAGAAAGGGTCATTCCAAAAATAACATTTTACCTCACTTTGCAGCTTCTTTTTCTGATCGGAGGTCAAGTCGTGTGGCAGCCACCCACTAGACAAGAAGTTGGCTATATTGGCGAAGCGTTGTGGTCTACCGGAGACTACTGCAATGGAAAAAATCTGCTCATCTGGGAACTCTTCACGAATGTCCATCGCTTCAACGGGTGGTTTCTCCAATCGCGACATGTGGTCAACCACTTGATTTTCTGTGCCCTTCTTGTCTTTGATTTCTAGATTCAATTTTTGCAGCAACAATACCCACCGCATCTGACACGGATTGGACTCTCCCTCACTCAGCAGATATTTCAGTGCTGAGTGATCAGTATGCACTATTATTACCTTGCTTCCCACCAAATAGGATCTAAACTTGTCAAAAGCAAAGACTACTGCAAAAAACTCCTTCTCCATGGTAGCATAGTTCACCTGAGCATTATTCAAGGTCCCGCTGGCATAGTAAATGGGTTGGAACAGTTTATCTCTCCTCTTCCCCAGCACTGCTCCTACTCCTACATCACTGGCATCACACATTATCTTAAAAGGCTCACTCCAGTTAGGAGTCACCATTATGGGGGCACTCACTATCTATTCCTTGATCAGTTCGAATGCTCTGAGACACTCCACATCGAATACAAATTTCACATCCTTGGCAAGTAATGCAGTTAAGGGCTTGGTAATGTTGGAAAAATTCTTAATGAACCTTTTATAGAAACCGGCATGCCCCAAAAAACTTCTGATGCTCTTCACTGAAGTCGGTGGTGGGAGCTTGGCTATCACATCTACTTTAGCTCTATGGACCTCAATACTCTCAGATGTGACTTTATGGCCCAGGACTATCCCCTCTTTAACCATGAAGTGACACATTTCCCAGTTGTCTACTCGGTGAGTGTCCTTACATCATTTCAAAACAAGTTCGAGGTTCCTCGAGCAATCTTTAAAGTCATCTCCAAATAGAGTAAAGTCATCCATGAACACCTCCAAACACTTCCTATTCAAGTATGAAAATATTGACATCATGCATCTCTAGAAAGTAGCTGGTGCGTTGCATAGTCCGAAAGGCATTCTCCGGTATGGAAAGATTCCGGACAGGCATGTAAAGGTGGTTTTCTCAACATCCTCTGGAGCAATGGGTATTTGATTGTACCTTGAATATCCATCTAAGAAGAAATAACATTCACGCCCCGCCACCTTCTCCAACATCTGATCATTTAAAGGAAGATGGAAGTGATCCTTCCTTGTTGCATCATTTAATCTCCAGTAATCTATGCACATCCTCCACCCAGTAACTGTTCTGGTAGGAACTAGCTTGTTGTCCTCTTTTTTTACCACCCTCGTGCCCCCGTTTTTTGGCACAACCTGTACAGGGCTAATCCATCGTCTGTCAGAGATGGAAAATATTAAACCTTCATCCATCAATATGAGTATCACTTTTTGCCCCACCTCCTCAAGATTTTTGTTCAATTTGTGCAGGGGCTGCACCACTAGTTTACTCCCTTCTTCTAACAAAATCTTGTGCATGCAGATTGCAGGGCTGATCCCCTAAATATCGGCTATACTCCAACCGGTTGCCTTTTTATGCTTCCGTAGTAACTCCAAAAGCATATGTTCTTGTTCACCTGTCAAATTAGCAGCAACAATCATGGGAAAATTGTTGGTCTCGAATAAAGTATATTTCAAATGTGTCAGGAGAACTTTCAATTCCAGCTTCGGCTTGCTCGTTTCTTTCTCGAATTCTTCATCGTCTACCAACTGTTTCTCATCTTCCAACGCCTCAACTTCCTTTTTGATCTCAGGATCTTCATCCTCTGTTGTGCTTGATTGACTAATTAATCTTTATAGTGAATCACCTGCTAGCTTATCCAGTTTGTTTTGTTCAACTAACTCTCCCACCACATCTAGTTTGAGACAAACATAGGCAGATGCCTCATCATATGGGTATTTCATCATTCTCTTCATTTGAAATACCACTTTCTCATTTCCTACTCGTAGCATGAGTTGCTCCTGATATATATCAAGAATAGCCAAGCCAGTGCAAAGGAATGGGCTCCCCAGGATTAGAGGTACCTCCTTATTCACTAACATACCTACCACAATGAAGTCTGCTAGGAAAACAAAATTTGTCTACCCTTACAGAATGTCCTCAATTGTGCCCTCCTGCATGCTCGTGGTCTGATCGGCCTGTTGCAAGGATACTGGCACAGATTTTATCACTCCTAGCTCTCATTCCAATTTCTTGAACACCGATAATGGCATCAAGTTAATGGATGCACCTGAATCGCACAAGGCTTTGTTAAAATTTTTGTTACCCAACGAGTAGGGCATAGTGAAACTGCCAGGATCCCCACACTTCTTAGGAATTTTGTTCTGTAGAATGGCACTGCAGTGGGCATTGAGTTTGACCACTTTCGTTTCCTGGAGCTTCCTTTTGCTTGAAAGGATTTCCTTCAGGAATTTTTCATAGTCTTGCATGTGTGAGAGCACCTACGTGAATATGATGTTCACATACAGCTGTTTCAGCATCTCCAAGAATTTCCCAAAGAATTTTTCTAATTTCTCCCGATTCATCTTTTGAGGAAAAGGTAACAATGGCATGTGCTTGCTTTCCTCAACTGCGCTGCTCACCTTCTGCTCGCCAACCTCCTCGCTGCTAACATTCTCATTGGACAGAGATTCACCAATTTTCCGTTCTTCAACTATCTTGGTTGAGTTGATCTCCTTCTCATCCCTTGGTTTTTCCTTGGGATCTGTCAATGTTTTCCCACTCCTAAGAGACACGACTTTGATTGACTCTTTTGGATTCTTTTCAGTGTATGTTGGCAAAGTCCCCGGTGCCCTTTCTGACAACAATGTTACAAGCTGCCCCATTTGTCTTTCTAGATTCCTGATGCTTGTGCCTTGCTCCCGGATAGCGATCCCTTGAGTCTCAAGTTTCTCATCGGATTTATTTATAAATTCCTTCATTAGATCTTCTAAACTTGAGTTTTTGGGTTGTGGAGGTTGATATGGTTACCTCTGTTGAGTTTGGAAACCAGGAGGTCCTTTGTCACGACCCAAACTGATGGGCCGCGACAGGCACCCGGTACCTTACTCAACCGAGTACTAACGTAACATATCTTTCGTATCATACTATCATAGGTAAATGAACCAGTAAGGTTTTCAAGAGATAACTAGAATAATACTCGATATATGATGACCCAGTGAGATATACCAACTTATACATATAACGTACGGGCCCATTAGGACGAAATGATTACTCGTACACTGAACATAGGCCGTCAAGGCCATACAATCTTTTCACGTACATGACATATGTCTACTAGCTTCTAAGAGTAGATAAATACCATAAAGGTCGGAACAGGGCCCGCCATACCAGTCAATACATGTCCAAATCATACTGACCAAATAAGCAACTCCAGAGCAAATGAAGTGCACTAACATCTTCCGCTGAGCAGATAGCCTACTTGGAGGACTCTCAACCTGTCTATTGTACCTGCGGGCATGAAACACAGCGGCCCCAAGAAAAAGGGACGTTTGTACATATAATGTACCGAGCATGTAAGGAATGAAAATCAGTAAATAAAAGACATGAGAGAAACGTGATGTAAAAGACTCAACATGTATGTCTGAATAGCTTTGTGAATCATTTAATATTTATAATTTCATGCATATGCGTATCAATGTCATACCATGCATAGGTATATGTGTTCATAACATCATTAAGCCTATGAGGGCATCCCACCATATCATCTTGACCACTGTGGGCAAAATCGTCAACGTATGCCAACTGATCAGGTGACGGTGCGTATATAATGCTGCAACCTTTTCCCATATCCCATATACATATAATATACGTGTATATAACACCATCTGGTCATGGGACAACGTATATGTATAAATGAATGAAATGCAATGCATAAGAAGTGAGTTAATAAGATCTCTCGGTATGTCATAAGATCAATATGCCTCTGATTGATATCATGAAATAAACTATATTATCTTACGTATTTTCTAAGACCCATTAACATATGATGGAATAATAGGACACATCGAGAATCAAGAACATAGGCACTTTTAGTACTTCTATGAATAAAGTCATTTATGAAAGTTGTGCATTTGCTCGTTTCGTTTGTATCGTATGGATCAAGCGAATAAGAAAGAAGGGACAGCCTTAACATACCTGAGCCGATTCTCTAGACAATATTTCCAACACATGTCAAACGCGACAAAACATATAACGGCGGATCGAAGTACGGAAAAATTCGTGTGATATTCTTGAGAAAGAAGTACTGTGCTCTCTTAATCGCAATTCCTGTTGCTATTACCTTATGAAGTCTCGTATGAACTTTGTTTTAGCAAATCCCGTTGCTATCACAAAATATAATCTATTAAGATTTTGCTGAAGCTTTCTTCATTACCTTGTAGAGACATAAAGTGAATTAGAGAAGTCTTAAATCTTTGGGTGTGGGCCCCACTTACGTATGACTTGGCCACCAAAATTCCTCTAATTTTGCCACCTTGCAGTGTTATTTAAGAGTCCTTATATGGGCATAGTGTGCTGCCACGTTGGGGCTTATCAAGCCTATCCAATAATTCACCCATTTCCTTAATTAACTTATTCGTCCCCTACTAATCCATTAAGTAACCATTTACCCACATAATTAAGAATTATCTCAAATTAATTAAAATACTAATTAATTTCAACATACTTTATACACCTTACTGTCATGGCCATGTGGTACCTTGTATGGCACTAGTCCATAAATACCGGGTATTATAGCTTGGACCGTAATTTATCTGAAATTGACAACCTTCAAAGAAACTCATTTTCTTTGATTCGTTTACCCTCTAACCTTCACGAATTTACTCATCACTTGTTTTGAAATAGCATAATACTTATAATCTCAAAATAATCTCATTCCCGAACTTACATCGATTAACTTACGACGAAACTTTAACGTACGAAAATGCGGCATGTAACATCGCATTTCCGAGCTTTCATCAATTTACTTATGGCGTACTTTCACGTACAAAAACATGAGGTATAACATCATTTCCCCCTTTGGAACATTCGTCCTCGAATGTTGACTGATGCACTTATCATTATCATAGCCTATAGATCTTGCGAATACTTTAATACTCTCCTTGCCATTTAGGCAACTGTTCTGTGAATAAATCCAAAGTCCAGGTCATTCCTACCTTTAGACCTCTTTATCACACCATGGCCCGTGGTCAGAATTCTTCCAATCTCGTAACTCTTGCTACCTTCTGTCATGCAGCCTGTACAACTTTTTCCTTATATGTGAGCCTATGCGACTCTTCCCTCCAGCTTTTAGCCAATCTCTAGGCCTCACTTTGGGAACATATAAAGAACTTGTCAAGATGTCCCTCTGGGCATCTATAGGTATACTGAAGTTCTTTGCTTGGTACTTTGTTGAACTTACTACTATTATTTTATCTTGTTTCGTAGCCCTGGTTATCTATCCTTATGGTTTTACTACATCTAGGTAGGTCATACTATATCATAACTCTTACTTCGATTTATTAATACTGAGGTCTGCTGCCAAACTCCAGGTTACTCTCGTTGCTTATCCCATATGTATAAATCTAAGTCCTTTAATGCTTCCTCATTACTGTTCATCTTAAGAATGACGGCCTAATCTCATGTTATACTTTGTAGATTTTATCCATCCATTGTTGATTCACCTCAATGTTGATCTACAATCTACCACTGATAACTTGAAACCTCTTACGTAATCACTAGGGCTCACGTTGCATCGAGGAACATTTGAAGTGATTTTCTTGATCCACCTGGGGAAATACTATACTTTCATTACCGTATTTCATAGCGTCCCAATGTGATTCACCTTCCGTGGATATTTTAATCATGTACAATTCATGAAATCCCCTCTTTTTTTTCCTTCAAATCATAACTCAATCAAAGGCCCAAACATCATCCTTTATCTATCACAATTACACCCATATTCTACTACCAGGGCAACATTCAATCTCTTTTAAATGCTATAAGTCTTAGACTCCTTTGAGTTCATTTAGGCTATACAAAACTTTCTGTAACATAGAGACACCATTAGCTCTCTTGTTTTCATGGGCTCAGTCCAGAGGACTCATCCATTCTCGTCACCTTCTCACTTGCCTTTCCTTATCCTTTCTCATGTCTTCCTAAGACCTTGTTGCTCTACCATACTTTAGTTTGCGACCTACACATATCAATTTATACTACTCGCAACCTTCCTTCAACTTGATTGAACCACAAATTTTCTTATGTTATTCTAGAACATCAAGCGAGACATCACATCGTCTCAAACTCATCTTTACTCTTTTAACTAGACCTCTCGATACCTAGAAACTATAGGCTGGGAGGTATGCCACTAATGACACCGCTATCAATCCTGGAT